CGATTCATACCACACATCATGCCTAATGTCAACGTAAATTTTAAGGGAAAAATCGGAACCAACTATCAAGTCAATTTCGTTTTCTCGCAAATTTGTGTGCAGTGCTTATATAATTTTTCGAACAATGAATTGTTTATAATTTTTATAAAACTAGCATTATTTCAATTATGCATCAATAACGAATTCTGGTGTTGAATTTGCAGGAAGAATACAGTTTTGTCTTCACAGCGCAATTCGAGGAATTCTTATTTGCACGAGATAATAACATGAAGTAAATAAAACATTACTTGCAAATTGTTAGAGGTCGTAATGATGGTTGGAGTAGCTTAGTTCCCTTAACTAACGACCACTAGCTTCGTATTGCGAATAAGTTTCTCACTAAGACCAAGATTAATTGGTCTCTCAAGACGTGAATATTTAAGACGGTAACATTTAGGTCATTTTTAAAAGTGGCTGGAAACTAATTCAAAGTAGAATGCATATTTTTACATTGGATTGTCATTTAAGTTAAAGTAAATTGTCCGAGTAAACGGAGATTCTAATAAAAAGATTGCAAGCACGAGAAAATTGTAAAGTGCAAAGATTCAAAATTGGGACATGATAAAACTGGTCGATGACAGACTCTTAAGTGAACAATTCAAATAATAATGCAGGAGAACTTTTTCTGTTGCCCCGTCTCAAGTCAGAAATTTTCCGTGATTTTTCGTTTATTAGATAACTTTTCGTTATCGAATTATTCTCTTTAAAAATCACAAATCGCTCGCATAGATAAAATTACCGTTTCACTGCCCTCCAAATTACCTCGGAATTTTCTTTGCCCTTTAATTTAATGAGCCTTTTTTATGAGTGATCTTTAATATTTATTATTACTTGCCATCTTTCAGTTATGTTTAGTGTTACTACATTTTGTGAAAAATGTATTGTGATCATTAATTGTGCATATCAAAGTGGGGCCGAATAAAATTTTGAAAGGAGCTCTCTCTCCTCTAAATTTGTATTTCTCAACTTCGTTTCACTTTCAAAGTGTCTTACTGAATTAGTCCTAGAATTTTATTTTGTGTAAATTGATGTCAGAAGTCTCAGTTCTCTGGATCTGGAATACCATCTACGATTGGTCACCCATTTTGACTCGCCGTTCTCTCTATCATTGTAAACACTTTCCCTCCCAAATCCTTGCTTGCATTAACAAACGACTTAGCTTCCCCATGCATGATCAAGTTATGCTAACATCTGGCTGGGTTTGAGCTAATTTCTTATCAGTTGAGCAGCATAAACGGTGGAATATTTGCATTTGTAAGCTCTTAGGACGCAGCATGCGTCCTATTTTCCCTCGTCTGGGACACACAAAGTTCAGACCTAAACTTCACGAGGAGGTCAAGCGCCGCCGTCTTGGATCCTATGCTTGCTCAACTGCGCCACGCCGGTGATAGGCCAGAGGCCACATGCATTTTTCATGCAAGTTCCTTTTCATTCCGTCCTTTTATTACTTGTTTTTTTTTTAAACTTTTTCATATTCACTACAGGTTTAAGTTTTTTTGTGATCACTATTTTGGAATGTTTTTTAATCGAGTTTTTTTCCAGAATCTCAGTACCAACTATCCTTTGTTATTTTTTTAAATATTTTATTATTCAGTACAGGTTTCAGTTTTTGTGATCCCTAATTTGGAATGTTTTTCAATCGAGTTTTTTCCAGAAGCTCAGGACCAACTATCCTTTTATTTTATTTTTTTAACTTTTGTTATTCAGTTTTTTGTGATCACTATTTTGGAATGTTTTTTAATCGAGTTTTTTCAAGAAGCTTTGTACCAACTAAGGACACTGCTCGACCATCCTCGTCTAGAACGGGATTCAAGCTTTCATTTGAGGCTTATTACCGGAGAAAAGTTTGCGAAGAATCTCTTGTAGACCTCGTCGACCGCTGTTAGTTTGGTAGATCTTTTAATTTCATGAGATGACGGGAGAAAAATTTTCTTACAGATTTTCTTTCAACAAATTTTTTCTAATTCTCCGACCATGAAGATATGGGCACTAGCTCATTCATTGCATCTTTGTATGTTGAAATTAAAAAGATGAATAATCTTGAAAACCCTAATTTTTGTGCGTAGATTAGACAAGGCAAATATTGAACTCGAATCTAAAGAAGGCTATTAAATTTTGCACTGGTTGTTATCAAATAGTTTGAGAGCACGAAGAGCTTTGTGAAAATGACTGGATCCGATAATATATGGCTCGACAATAATAATAATTTTAAAAAATCATCCCCTTTTTTAAATTTTCGTAAGTATTGATGTATCAAATTAAAACTTAATTCACAAATTCGTCTATCTGTACTCTTTTTGGTAAGCACCTACAACGCTTTGAACGGCGTTGGGAATACGCATTCATGCAAGTAAAATCGCAAATATTAGGGAATACGCCGATTGAAGCGTAACTCGAGCGGTCGAAGCCTTACGTAATAGTTGATAATCTAACCCATAACTATCACGGATATCGAAACGTCTATCTGCTTTCAGTTCCAGACAGTTGAACACCTGAAGAACTGAACACAAAAACTCTTCTACTGAAAAACACACTCAAGAATTGATGAACACACACTCAAGAACGAAACACACTCAAGAAAAACACAGTCGTTCAAGAATTTTCTGACATCTGAGCAGAACAGTGTTGCTTTGTTTTTGGTTCGAAAATCGCATCCCCACTTAATTAAACTCACATAATTTTATTAGAACTGTACCTTGATGCATGCGGCATCTTGATATTACAACTATCGTTTTCGAATATTGTCTGAATGAACTACTACAACATTGTGCCGGATAAGCGGTATTTGTCCTTTGATTGGGTAACTACTACACTATTGTGCCCAATACGTAGTATTTCTTCTTAGGTGGGTTACTTTGAATGGGTAACTGCTAAACCCTTGTTCCCGATACGTGGTATTTCTTCATAGGTCGGTTACTTTGAATGGGTAACTACTAAAGCATTGTTCCCAATCCGTGGTACTTGTTCTCAAGTCGGCTAATTTGAATGGGTAACTACTACACTATTGTGCCCAATACGTGCTATTTGTTACTTTGATTGGGTAACTACTACACTATTGTGTCCAGTACGTGCTATTTGTTCTTAGGATGGTTATATTGATTGGGTACCTACTAAACCATCGTTCTTAATACGTGGTATTCGTCTTTAGGTTGGTATCTTTAATAAAAAAGATAACTACACTATTATGCCTAATATACGATATTTGTCCAAAGATTCTTTACTGTAGCCGTGGTCAGTGGGTCGCGTTGAGCGAAGGGCACCGCGCTGACAGCCATTAATTTTACTGGGAGTTGCTCGTGATGCATCGGGAAACGATCACGCCAATTGTCCGTCTTAATTTGGCATGTTTGTTGCGTTTGAGTCCGACCTCTTGGGCTGATGCTTCCACTAAACCTGCAATCAATCCTCCTAGGTGCTTATTATTCCCATAAGTCTTTTGTTTCATGTAATACCAGAGAAAGAACTCTTGGATGAATATTCCTATTAAGCATTTGGGATGTCCTCCCACCATTCAGAGCTTTCCATTAACAAATGCTCTTAGAACTGAATAAAGATTGTTTCTTCGCCTCCAATCGTTCCCGTTTCTTTTTCAATGGATATTTGAGCCGACCCTCACCCCTGACAATCTCATTGCGTTCCAAAATTCTCGTCACTAGTAGCACTATCAGTCTTGAGTTATCGTATAGTCGTTTATTTTCACCCGCTGCACCGACAAATGAAGTACGGCATCTCGATGGCGATTTATTAAGTGTGCCCTTCTCTGCATGGCTGTCCTCGATCGCGTATGGGGCAATGCGCTCAACCCGCTTAGGGTCAATAGCTTATCCTTTCGCCTCCCTTGTAATTGTAACCTTTTTGTTTTGAAGCGAATATCTTGTATTGCGATGGCGATGATTTCATTCAATAACACGCGGTATAATCAGTTTCTGTTATAATGTGATTCTGTTTTTTGATGATGAAGATTGCATTCTTTCTTTGTGATACTGTAAGTCTTATGTTTTAATTTGTAAAAGATAGTATCTATAGGAGTTCATTCAGTTCTTTTCAATGCGCTGATATTTTTTATGGCAGCAACTGAATGAAAAATTTGAATTTACATTGTTGCCAAGTTTATGTCCGACGCTATCATGTCTAAGTCTTTCATCTCCGAGTACATGGTACATAATATGTGTAAGTATACCACATATAAGTATACCTATTATGTCTTATGGCCATTAGACACATAACATGTTAACAGTACACCATGTCTGAGTCACCTATCGCAGTCTACCGGGGCCATACTTTCAAATTTCGCTAAGTGAACGTAAGTACTTGCGCTCTATTTTATTGTCTGTAATTGGTGGATTTTGCTTGAAAGGCCGTCAATGATTTGCTGACAAACTTACCATCTCTCAACTTTTTTTGAAAGTATAGGCCCTGCTTATTAGCGCGATGCCTAATAGTGTCTGAGGATTATATGAATGTGTGCATATGGCAGCCGCTGTCGGGTAGCAGTTTTTCCAGATCTTCTCGTGCATCCGATATGTCTACAAGGCTACCCTCTCATTGAGTGGTGCCGTGCGTGGCAATATCTTCATTTTCTTTCCTGGCCATAGGTTAAAATTTTACCAATAGTGAAAATTTTACAATGCTTGGTGAAAGCTTTTCGTTCATCGTCCTTTCAGGTGTCGTAAAATTAATTGCAATTGCCACATATGTGATATTTTGTCGATTTTTTTCAAATAAAAATTCCATGTTAATTATATAATTATTGACATAAGGTATGTTAATAAGTGAATTCTTTTGTGATATGCATTGAAGAAACGCACAAACGACGGCATTCGCCAGATGTTATCGCATTTGCTTCTTATACCGCAACACTTGCATATCTCACAAATCAATACCTGTATTCACTGCAACCGGTGCTGCATTGCTGTCGAATGATGCTATCGCTAGCGAATGTTGTCAGTTGCGCCGAATGTCTCGTGCAGTGATAGTGTCAAGAAGAAGAGAGAGGAAGTGACTGATGACTTTTCAGTGGCAGGTTGTCGTAAATAATGAGTGTTCAAGACACTGCTTGACGACCGGTTATGTGAGCGTTCAACGTCTGCTCAAGTTTTGTTGTGAAGATTTGCTTGCTATTTTGTCACCATTAGAAATGTATAATTATTTGTGGACCTTTCTGTTAGCTCAACTTGCTCTGAATAGAGCATTTAACTATGGTAATTGACATAGGGAGCATAGACTTACTTCAGGATTTGAAGATAGTAACTTGAGTTCAATAAAATAAAGATATTATATTAACGTGTACTGCCTAACTCAGGCATTTAGGGATTGTCTCTGGAAGATATGTTAAAAAATTTCTATCAAATCTGTAAAGTGTGGTTATCACTCCAAACCAAAAGTTATTCACATTTTCAGATTATTCGGTTTTTCATAGCTAGTATCTGACGTTAAATTGTATCCCGGGTTTCTTACGGACGAAAAACCAATTCTTTATTTTTATTTTCAACAGATGTAACTTGTGAGACCTTGCGCTTTGAAACTTTCGTTGTGTTGGCATTGGAAAGTGTGTAGGTTTTTGCTTCGCTGAAGTCGTTTGTCTCTAATGCCTGACAAATCGTTTGGTATCGCCGTTGAAAGCTATCTAGGGAATCTGTTTGCTCTTATTGCGACTCGGATGACCGTGACGATTATTTTTTCTCCAGTTTCCGATCGCTTCATAATTGTGCAATTCATTCAGTGAATTGTGGATCGTTACGGTCCAATTGGCGGTCGGCTTGTTAATCAAATGGAAATAATATTTACAGGCTCAATTATGGATTAAAAAAATCGATGATTGCTACTATTGATTTGCAGTGCTTCTTATATTGTTATATTTTTAATTTGTTCGATTATTCCTCTCAGAAAATCCGCTCTTTATTATTTTTCAATAAATATAAAGGTTGATGATTTCATTGGTTGCGGTTGTTCGTTCTATTAATTCAAGTCGTGCAAGCGTTTATGTAATTTTCGTAATTTGCACTTTTTGCACCTAATTTACACTCTGTGCTTCTTTGCCGATTTATAGTTTTGCAAGAAAAACGTTTTAAATTTATGGGTATGGTCTCGGTATGAAACACGGAAAATTGGTACGCATTTCAGCGGTATGAATAACGGAAAATTGGTACGCATTTCACCGGTATGAATCGATGAATATTGGTACGCATTTCACCGTATAAATCACGCAAAGTACATCATCAGAATAATTTTATAAGTTGGAGCAAGTTTATATCGTCACATGGTCATTTCCATTAGATATTTTGTATAATTATGAAACTTGAAATAAAAGTATAACATTAATCAACTAAACATGAACCGTAATTACCCAACTCATACTCTCCACAGCTGTATACTTTTGATATTTTACGTGCATGCAAGGGTACGTTACGATACGGTATAGAGCTTCACCGTAAACGAACCGCACTGCAGATAAACTGCTGTAAGACTCTTATTCTGTTCAAAAATTTCCGATAGCAACTTATATGGGTCCTGAATGTGCTGATAGAGGCCCTAGATGTGCTGATATGGCCCTAAATGTGCTGATATGGGCCTATATGTGCTGATATGGGCCCTAGATGCGATGATATGGCTCTGGATGCGCAAGTATTACGAGATCGTGGCTACTTTTTTTATTTAACTTTTTGTTCATTAGTGTGCCTTATATGCTTACTTTCAAATCAGCGCTCTTAAATCGTCTCTCTCTATAACCTTTTAATGAATATATAGGAACCACCGCATAACGTATATCAGTCACCTTTATAACAGGCTTTATACCGTATAGGGTTACCTTCTTTGTCTCTTGCCCGGAGCTTGGAAACTTGACATTTTTCTGATCCCTCATTACATAAGCGCGGAAATTATTGGTCACGGGACCAATAGGAGGACATTATTGGTCACGTAATATGTTTAATGTATCCTTGGATACATGATTATTCAGTTTTTAATGATATTTTTGAAACACGCGTTACGTTATTTCGCTCGCTCGTCTGCAGCGTGCGCCCAACGTCCTCGGCGACGTTATCTTCGTCGTGCTGTTGTGCCCCCAGCGCTTTATAATCATTCTTATTTACTGCAAATTCAAGTCCTCGTAATAATCTTTTATTATTAAATTAGTATTATAAGTTAATTTATTTGATTGTTTATACTGTTAATTTGTTCCTCAAATGCTCGGTTAATATTTTCATTCATAAAAGTTCCATAGAAATTTTTAATAAAATTATTTCTCGAAATTAATTTCATGTAGGATCCAAACCATTGTAGGATCTTGGGTTATTGTAAAGGTTCACTTTGAGGTTAACTAATCTCACGAATTGATAAATTTGTTGAGTTAAATTATTTGATAGAAATTACAGGTTAATTTCTATTTCTTTAAAGTTGCCTGAACTTCAGATGGTATTTCAATTTTCGATGCGGGAGGATGAAATTCTTTGTTGGAAATTGGAATAATACTCAGAGACTTTATTTATATTTTTTTATTAAAGTATCTGCGAAAGTAGTTTTTCGCTCTTTTTCATGCTCGGTATATCAGATTAAAAGAAGCTATCAATTGTAGAATTGCGTTTAAATGTTTCCCTAAAGCAAGGACTATCGTCACGTAACTATTCTCATGTGTACAAAATATTTAGTCAATATTTTGCTTTCCAAACTGCTGCCTTGTCATTCTTAAACTATACATCGTTTAACGATAAGAAATTATTTACCTTTAAACTTATTGCTTGCTTAAATTTTCATTCGTAAATTTTTGTTCAATATTGAGCTATCGCAAGTATTCTTATCTGTCCTCAATTTTAACTTCAATATTATTCGAATTTCGTAAGTCGATCTTTTCCCAATAGCTATCATTGAATATCGCATCTTATTTTGACTACACAGAGACTTTTTCTGCTTCGAATGTTTTAGAATTTCATAAGGAGATATTTTTTTCTATCATATATAACGTTCCATATCATGCCCAGATCAAGACTTTGTTCTGGTTGAGCTTGTTCTGCTCGTTCTCTAGCCATGCACTTCCGCATTTGATGGTCAGCTTGAGGTTCGCTCCCGCGATCTCTTCACGCTATGAGCATACAATCCGAATAGTTTGCACAACGAGTTGGAGCAAGTTTCTGTCACATGGCCATTTCCGTTACATATTTTGAAGAATTATAAAATTTAAAAAAAGTATGACATCAATCAACTATGCATGAATCGTTATAACCGACTTCTACTCGATTTCACTCTGTATACTTTTAATATTTTATGTGAATGCAACGGTATGTTACGTTACGGTATAGAGCTTAACCGTATATGGCCCTACATGTGCTGATATGGCCTGGTTGTGTAATTATTATGGGATCGTGGTCACTTCTTTATTTAACTTTTTGTTCATCCTTGTGCCTTTTTTTATTACTTTCAAATCAGCGCTATTTAATGGTCTCTCTCTAAAACATATTAATGAATAGGGAACCACCTCATGCAGAATGTGTTTCAGTCACCTTTACAAGTCTTTATATGGGGTTACCTTCTTCGTCTCTTTCCCGGAGCTTGGAAACTTGACATTTTTCTCATCCCTTCATTACATAAGCGCGGAAATTATTGGTCACGGGACCAATAGAGGGACATTATTGGCCACGTAATATGTTTGATGTATCCTTAGATTTCATGTATCCTTGGCTACATGATTATTCTGTTTTTAATGATATTTATGAAACACGCGTTACGTTATTTCGTTGGCTCGTCTGCAGCGTGCGCGCTACGTCCTCGGCGACGTTATCTTCGTCGTGCTGCTGTGCCCCAGCGCTTTATAATCATTCTTATTTACTGCGAATTCCAAGTCCTCGTAATAATCTTCAATTAATGCCATATTTTATTGCACGTATTTCTACTGGGAGCTTTTTTTTCTAGCAACTAATTCTCAATAAAATATGGTTCCCGGCCCTATAGGTTTCCCTGGTGTATTATAAATTAATTTATTTGATTGTTTCTACTGTTAATTTGTTCCTCGAATGCTTGATTAATGTTTTCATTTATGAAAGTTACATAGAAATTTTGAATAAAATTATTTCTCTAAATAAATGTCATGTAGGATCCATCCCATATAAGTATCCGGGGTTATTGTAAAGGTTCACTTTGAGGTTAACTAATCTCACGAATTGATAAATTTGTTGAGTTAAATTATTTGATAGAAATTACAGGTTAATTTCTAGCCATGCACTTCCGCATTTGATGGTCAGCTTGAGGTTCGCTCCCGCGATCTCGCGTGCCCTCAACGGAGGACATCTTGTTTGTCATCTGACCTGAAGACGATCTCGGCAAACCCGGACACGCGTGCAACTATGTCACCTTGACGGTTGCCCCGCAAAAATTTATTTAACATCAGATTCCCTTGAGTTTTGGAAAAAAGGTATTTTAATTTTTTAAATTTCCGAAATATCGGTGCTTCAAGATATCAACAGTTGAACTAAAAATATTCATTTTTTAAACGCTTCGCAGAAACTCGTCTCCCACGAACGATGATGTTGGACATCTATGTCTCTTTGTGGGTTACTCCTTCAGAATTTATTTAATACCGTGTATGAAGTTTCCTTCTTTCTTATCAGCACTACTATGTGTTTTTATACATAAAAATTTCGTATATTTTTATTTAGAAAACCAATTTTTCTACAAAATATTATTATTATTTATAATTAAATATTTTAATTATTGTTACGTACGGAATAAAATTTTCTTTTTGGGCATCAAGTCTATTCGTGTCTCGAAAAATATTTAATATATTTTTTACCCCGCTTTTCCACCAGAATTTTAGAAAGAGACTCCTATGTTTTTGTTGAATTTTAGAGTGTATTTACTGAGGACTCGTATATAATGAAAGTTAATTTTACTTTTTACCATATTCGAATTTGTTTCATAATAATTTTATGTTCCATTATTGTTCTGGTTCTTATTGTGCCAATTTAAATTATGGAATAATTCTAAGAGAATCTAAGAATAATAATATCTTTCATATCAATATTTCTCTCAGTA